ACTCTCTCACTTGCTGGAATAAGAGCCAGGGGAAAAAAAGTCTTACTCAGGGGGCTCAGGGCTTTATGAAGGGCAACAAGAGGATCAAGAATGACTTGTGAAAAATTATTGGGGTGGTGAGAAACTGAAGGGGACACAGCTTGCTGAGTATTGGAAGCTGTGTAGCAAGGGAAGGATCTCTTGGCTCTGGACAGGCAATGACAGAGCAGTGCTGAAATGTCTGGTGCCTTTTTGGAGGATGTTTCTTTTCAGTGTCCAGCAGAGAAGAGCTGCTGCAGAACAATGCAGGTGAGGGCAGGAGTCTAAAATGCTGGGGGCAGGAGAAGAGAACTAGTGCCCACCTCTAGTGTGCATGGAGGGAGATGGGTGGGAAGGAGGGGACTCACGTGGTCTGTTCTTTTCCCTTTGCTGTGGATTCCTGATGCCAGTTAACCTCACACAGACAGGCGGAGCTGGGATGCAAGTGCTTTTTTCCTTTGACTCCTACTGCTCCCAGGCTTCAAATCCACCCTGATTTCCAACATTTTACTTCTTAGCCTGATGAAAGGGAACGCAGTGCAAATGCCTGTGGCAGTGCTCCACAGTTGCTGCAGGGCCTTCCTCACCCACTGCCCTGTTTCCTTTCACAGCTTCTCGAGGATCATGCACCAAACAGTGAAAGATCTGGCACCCAACTGCGATGTGACCTTCCTGCTGTCGGAGGACGGCAGCGGGAAAGGGGCAGCGCTCATCACAGCGGTGGGATGCAGGCTTCGTGAGGCTGAGCAGAACTGAACTCCACAATCCTGGCCTCAATTCTGTCTTGTGTTTCTCATAAAGCAGCGACTGCGTAGTCAGAACTGGTAAAAAACTCAGAACTCACTGCTTTATCGGGGGAAAAAAAATTACAACTAATGACATAAGAAAATAGGATACAAGATAGAATGTGTGCTCTTAATAATATCTCCTGTTTCTGGACCCCAATCTGCATGTTTCTTACTCACCTTGTTGGTACCTTCCTCATGTGTAGGTCATGGAAAAAAAAAACAGTCTATAATTTCTGCAGTTGTCAAAAATCAGTTGTTGTCCGAGACAAAATTGCCCCCAAGTGATGTGCGTTGAGAGCTCCCGTTGCATCGTACCAAACGTGTTCTTTGCAGCATCCCTGTTAAGCACACTGCCAGCACGCTGACCACCAGACCTGGGTGTTGATGCTTTTAAGTGACGGGGAAGCAACAGCTCCCTCCTGCATTATCTACCTGCTGTTGTTTCGTCTCCAGCGGTTGTGAAAACATTTTGGTGTGTCAGCACTGTGCACGCACGTAACTCTGTAGTGGGACTTGACACTGTGACTTACTCACTTTCTTGATGCCTCTTGTCATGGTGAAAGTAAATATCCTTGTCCCACAGATCTGGTTCCACTGGTATTCCCCATTGCTTCTGTGAGTAGTGCTGTATTACTGGGTGAAATCCATCACGTTTTGGCGAGAAATCCCTAAAGAGTAAAGCTGAGTGGTTGGTGACTGGGGTAATCCAAATCTCCAGACCTGCGAAATCAGTAGATCTATGCTCCCTACACGGCTGTGCTGTATTCTTCTGTCAAAGGGTTCTTATAGAAAATAGTTCCTGTCTCTTCTTGTTAGTCTAGGGCACTGCAGCTGCCCTTCCACTAAACCTGCAGCCCAGCCCCATCCCCCGGATGCGCCTACTTCCGTCTCTCGCCTTAAATGGGTATTTGCTTCCACACAGAGCTTTAATCTTTAATGCTGTCCAGCAGTCACTCAGAACACAAACACTCGGCCAGAGTTAGTGCGCAGAAAGGAAGAGGAAGGTTGCGTTTTGATCTTGCCTTTGAGGACCCAGGTGCATAAACAAGCCAAAAAGCCAAAATTGGGTGTAGCTTATTCCAAGGACGAAAGCAACAGCAGATCATTTACATGTGGTGTACCCTGTCCTCTGTCCAGTTGATGCCATTATTATATTTGCATACCAGTTGCATCACTTAAACTGAGAAGCAGTTAGGAAGGTACATGTTGAGTAACATTTTTAAGTCATGCCACTTTCTGCAAAAAGGGAGACCACACAGTAGTCCTTAATTCCCACTCTTCTACCAAAAATGAATCTGAGATGTCCGCATGGTTTTCCCTGCTGCCTTTTCCTGCAGAAAGTAGATGGAAATTTGCAGGCTACTCTTCTCTGTTCTCGTTCCACTCCCTAAGATTTGGATTGCCCTACCTATTGATAACATTTCAATATGCATTATGGTGCACTGTGAGTGAATGTTGTAAAGTAACCTGTAAGTCACAGTCATTGCAGCTTTAAGTGTGTGTCTACCTGAAAAATTGCATGCCTAACTGGTTTTGCAAAGGTAGAGGGTCTTTTTACTTTACACACTAGTAGCTCCAGTACTAGTGTTACGTGATACTTGTGAAAATATTAAACTTTTTTGATGTGCGTTAACTGGTGTTTAGTGGTTCTTTCTGGAAGAGGTGCTGTTGGCTGGTGGCTTAGTGCTTTGGGAAGACCTATTGTGTAGGGAGAGCTGCAGCATAATCCCAGTGGTGCCTGTGTTTTGTGTGTGTGTTTTTATTCCCGGGCATTCGGGGTCAGATTCACACAGGTCCCCGTGCCTCGTGTTTCCTGCTGTAGTTCAGCAGAGGCACAGCGCTGACAGCGCCCAAATCTTAGGGGCCGTGTGGCTCGTCCGGGTGCCCCTCGTGCCCCATCTTGTGCAGGGGGATCTGTGGAGCAGGAGGACCTCGGGGTGCTGCACCAAGGGCAGCGTGGTTTCATTAGGCTGGTGATGGGTCCGGCGTGTCCGTGAGCTCCACGTGTGCGTAGGGTTAACCTCAGCACAGTCCCGGTGTCCGGTGCTCCTACACCACTGGCTGGCACTGCCTGTGTGGGAGCTGTTGGAGATGAAACCCCTTTTGCTAAAGCAGTGCTTCTCCAACAGCACAGTTTGTGTTATGGCTTGAGTAGTCTCTGTCAGCCTTGAGGTGCAGCTATGACCCCAAACAGGAGACAGAAGAAGGTGAGAAGCTTTTTGGGCACAGAGGGCACGTTGCATTTGAATTGCTTGAAGGTTTGCAAATCTTGTGCCTGCCATCGGCAGTGCTGTAGGGGTGGTGTGAGCCATGCCTGGGGACCTGGGTTTGAAGCTCTTCAGCACCTGAGGGCCAGGCTCAGTGCAGGATAAAGGGTGAAGGAGAAGTGGAAGTTAAACTTGGTCTCAGGGTGACTGTGGAGATGCTGGCATAGGTCGTTTTGTTTATTGGATCCAGCTCATAACAAATAGGGAGTGAGTTTGTGTTTCTAACTTTTCCTACCGTGGACCATAGTTGATGTATTTGCTAAGACATGGCGGTTCTTTTCCAAAGGGAGACATGGTGGGATTTCCATTTCCAGACTACTTCTTTCCCCTAGGAAACTGTTTCAAGTGAATCACAAGCTATAACTGTCTGAAGAAATGTCTCCAGTGTTATCCAAGCAATGACTGAGATGTCTTTCTTAAAGCTTTTTAGGCTTGGTGAATATTATCACAGTCCTCTTAACTGTTAAGCTGTAATTACTGCAATACGAACACAAAAATCTTATATTTCCTGGGGAAAAGACCATTTGCATACCCTTGTTGTAATGTCATCTGCTCCTTACTCCTCTGGGGTTCTCTCAGAAGCCTTTTGAATGGGTTTTAAAACAAGCAGACCTTGTTTTGTTTTGTTTTGTTTTCTTAAGAAAATAGCAGAAGGCAAAATAAAGTGTTTCTGAACTTTTGAACCCTGTTCTGTGCTTTTTGTTTGTTCTTTTGCCATAAAAATGAGATTCTTCAAGTGTTTTTCTTTACTGACTGCAGGCACTGCTTTGCTACTTGGAGCACAAGTGAACATGCAGGGGAGGGACTTATTGCTGGCCTGGATGTCTTTACTGCTGTGTGGTATTTAATCCTGTCTATATTTATTAATGGAGAATTGCATGTACCTACCATGGGGCATGGTGTTCCTGTTGCCTCATGTATCACAGCAATAACGTAGCTTGCCTTGGGCTGCCTTCGTGTAACAAGAGCTTGGAGCAGCTCTGCCTCCTTAACTGTTGCTTTTTCTATGGGATAAAACCTCACGATCTGCACTGTGAGTCTGTCAGGGCATGGAGAATTCCTTTTGTAACGTGAAGAAATCATCCTGTGCTCTCTGCTTCCCAACAAGAGAAGGAGATGCCTCGAGCTGTCAGAAAACATCAGTGCCAGTCAGGGACTGCATGGGGATGCAGCACGTGTGTGACTCTGGGCCATCTGCAATAGACTCTGGCTGGATGTTCAGGTGTCATGGAAGAGGGAGGGGGAAGGTGGGATGCTCAAGATAGGCCTGTTTAATCTAAAAAACTCTGCATTAGAAAGCTGCAGAGTTTAAAGGCCTTAGAGTCACAGCAGCTGGGCAGGGGGAGTGCAGCTCACATATATCAAATACTGAACTCTGTGAGTAGGTGTCCTTCAGTTCCTTGGAGCAGGAGTCTCTGCCATGTCTCGCCTGGTGCCAGGGATGTGTGCCTGGCAGAGCATCCCTCCCAAAGGGTTTTCCATCCCTTTGGCAGAGTGACTTGGTGGTGGCTGTCTGTAAATGCCTCTTGTTGCTCTCCCTCTCCCAGCACACACCCCAGCAGGGCAGGTGTGGGAAGAGCAGGCTGGCCTGGGCAGAGGCCTGGCCACGTATCATCACACTAGAAACTGTCTGCTGGAATGATTTAAAATCATGAACTTTTTCAGAGGGGCCTGGGCTCTCTTGTCCCAACAGTGGAACAAGTTGGTTGCATAACATAATTGTTCTCCACAGAGCCAGGGAGGTGGAGAAGTGGAGAAAGCATGTGTATCTCATACCTGTTTTGGAGCAGCCTTGGCAAAATTATATCCCTGAGTTCTCTTTCAGTTCAAGCCATGAACATTTTCAGTGAATTTACTGCAGAATTTAAGCCTGGCAGCACTTTGTCTTTCACAGAGCAGAGGAGAATATTTCAAATAATTGGATCTTGTCAACATTACAGGAGCTTTTTAATTGATAAGGTATGGCTCTATGATATTATTTACAAACCTGGCATGAGAAGTGAAGGTGATTGTAAGGTGCTAAGTTACCACACCATTATTGAATGCTGTATTACTTTTACATAATGTTTATATTTCAGATTCTCCTATTTTGTGTGCCTGCACATAATGCTTCAGGCTGGGAAGATGACATATTTCAGCCTTTATTTTCATATCTGGGAAGAGCAACGAGGATAAATATGGGGTAAGTCTGGAAAGGGAAGGTGAAGGGACTATCTGGGAAAACACAGTGATGGACCACTGCTGTTAGGACTAAAAGGATGTAAAGGAGGTGGATTCTGATTGGATCCATGAGCCCTGACCAAGCCAGTGGCCATCCCTGGCTACTGACTCTTTTGAGAGCCTCGCGCTCTAAATTAGGCACCACAATTAATGTGAAGCAGAAGTCACTTGAGCATGGTTTAATAAGAAAACATCATTGTATTTTGGGACGAGGTTATAGAAATCCATGTAATGACAGCATCTTAAGGAACTGTTTCTGCTGGTGAAATTGTAGGCATGAAAATCCCAGAATGCAGAAAATTTTGAGGGCAGGCTGGATTTTTCAGTTTGGATGTGTTAGTGTTTGCCTTTGTTGTAAACAGGCTTTGGCCCACAGTGCCCTGGGGCTGCTGTACCATGGGATTTGGCTGCCCACACAGCCCTGGGGGTCCATCCCAGCTGGGCCACAGGAGCCCCAGCCTTTCTGCTCCATCACCTTTTTCCTGACTTGAAGTGTCTTGGTGGAACTGAAGTCAGGAGATGTAAGGGAGGGCTAAACTCATACCCGTAGCTGGGTGATATTTGGACCTACATGGATATAAATGTTATCAACACACTGCCTTCAATGCTGATGGCATCTAAAGAAGTCCTGTAAGAAACACTTGCTCCAGAGAAAAAGACTTGCTTTTCAGGCTTCTTCAGATCTGCTGCCTTGGCATGGTGTATGGGGATACAGAACCAGGAGCAGGAAATCAAAGTGTTGATTGGGTGAGGGTAAATGATGTCTTCTCTCTGTCATTCAGCTGAGTTTCTGTGTTGAAACTTGTTGTTCTTGACTTCCTGTGGGTTGTCTGGTAGAGAGATGGGGACATAAGTTTAAGTTTGTCTTTTTCTGTTGCTTTTATGCAGGGACACCACCGGAATGCTAGCTTGAAGCCAGAGCGAAACCTGTAAAAGTGAGAAAAGCAAATACATGGTGAAATGACCTTTCTAATTGTGCAGAGAATGAACAAACTCATTACTTGGTTCTACCTGTGAATGACTATGGAAATAAATATTTCTACTGAAATCGAAGGAATAAAAGGTGAAAAGCTAAATGCATGAAAGCATGGAGGGAGTTGCACTAGGAGTTTCTGATCAGATTTCCTTGTATTTTAAGTTAACATAGTGATCAGTGAAATGGCAGGGTGTTTGATGTGCTCAGTAGATGGTGCTGACCATGCTGGTAACTGCATTTGTGAGACACAGAAAATCTGAGGAAAATACATGCATTTACCTACTGGGAGCTTTTTAAAAAAAACTATGAATAAATAAATGAGGAAGCTGTCAGCTTTCTGAGAGAGGAGGGGGAGGACATGTTTGTGTGTTTCATGCTAAATGCAGTTTGGGTGAATGGCCTGAAAAACTCTTCCTTTGCCAGCTCACAGGCAGGATGATGTTTGAAAGGCTCACAGGAGCGAGCCCCGCAGCATCACGCTGGAGTTAAACACTGGGCTGCTGCAGTGCCGGTGAAACTGCACAGGATTTGTGCTGATAACCATTGATTACCTTTGAGGCTCACAGCGAGCCTGAAGAGGCATGGGGGGGTTATGGATGCAGGATTTGGCACGGAGACCCAGCCAGAGCAGCTCCCTGCGCCCTGCATGGCGCAGCCCTCCCAGCGCAGAGCAGGAGGGACGTTTCTTGGCTGCTCCCTCGTGGTGACACATCCCGATGGCACCTTGCAGTCACCCGTGGGCTGCTCCTGCTTCCCATCATGGGGGTGAGCCCAGCACTGTGCTGGGGGTGGCCTGGGAAGAGCATTGGCTCAGCAGATGCAGTGCAGGGATTACAGATCATCCCCTTGGAAACAGGATGGTCTGCATGTGGAAATGGGTGCAAATGTGGCTGTGCTGATCCTGTACTGCTGCTTGCACTTTATTCAGAAACAGAAAATACTGTGGGCTGAGTTAAAAGCTCAGAGTGCATCCCATCTCACAGTTAAGTTGTCTCGTTGGCCTAGGGACTGCAGTTGAAAATCACAGCTGTTTTAACCTCCTGAGATTTATGCTTTTTTTCAGTCAGAGATTTGAGTTTTCTTTGTGCACACATGCTCACACTACCTCACCTCTGGTTCAGGCAGCAGTAGATAATGGGGTTGTACATTGTCGAGCTCATGGCAAGGAGGAAGACGGCGAGATACACCTGCTGAATGTACTTCTGCTGGTAGATGTCTTCCTTGAAGCTCCCCAGGATGAAGTATATGTGATAGGGCAGCCAGCAGATGGCAAAAATGATCACCACTACCACCATTGTCTTCACAAACTAGGAAAACAAAACAAAGGGGTTATTCCTGGGCTCTGGGCTCTGGGGCTTGCTGGGGCAGTGGGAAGTGCTGGTGTCACTTTGAGGCTGGTTTGCCCTCCCAAAGTGCAGAGTGTGGAATGTAAACCTGGACTGCTGTGGCAAAGAAACCAGCCCTGGTGATGAAAACTGGAACTGGGAGGGAGTGCCCTGGCCGTGGAAACTGGAACAGGGAGGGAGTGCCCTGGTGATGGGAACAGGGCGGGGGTTACAGCAAACCTTTCCCAGGGCACTGAGAGGACTCTGCAGAGGAGCTGCTTGTAGCTGCACCAGGGAGATGTGCAGGGAAACAAGATCACTGCTCTTACACTGAGACTGCTCCACTCTTCTAGAGTTTTACCCTGGCTTATCCTGCAACGTGTGGATCCTCTTCACTCTCTAAGGGCTGCTGGCAGCTGGCCTGCTGCTGTGAGCTTTCTTCCTTGAAGGCTGGCTGGTGCACGCAATCACCTTTTTTTTTCAAACTTGCAGGCTGATGCCTTTTACCCCGGACCCAAAATATTTTGTTAACCTTTCAAGCCCAATCCCACAAGATTTTTTGTGGAACACCAGCTCCATTTTGGAACTGGAACTAGCAGGGCTGGTGTGCTGGGGAACTTAAGTTTCACTTCTGACCTTTTTTTTGGCATTAACTTGGTGTTCGTAGTGGACTCTGTTCAGGTGGTTGCCTGGAGCTGTGCTGCTCCACAGAGTAACTCCTATAATGCTGTATGCAACAAACATCACCATTAAAGGCAGTAAATAAATCAACACAATCACGGCAATGTGGTACCTGAAAGAGAAGAACAAGCAGTTTTCACAGTCAGTATGGCTCTTGGAGAGCTCTTTCAGAACTTGGCTTTTGGATATATATGCTGGCTCCTATTAGCAAAACCACAAATAAGAATTTTTGCCTATAATTATTGTTACAGGGACTTCTGTAAACAGCAAAATCTCATCTCTCTGGTGGTGTGATGAGTGGTCCTTGGGCTGGACTCCCTTTCAAGACAGAGTAACATCACTGATCTTTTAGCAGAGGGTTGCAGTCCAGGGCCACCTGAATTGAGCTTTGCTATCCCACTGCAGCCAGGAGAGAGAGAGATGGTGGCAAAAGTACAAACCCTTAAATCACAGGTATAGGAAAGGAATAATCCAGAAACTATAGAGTAACTTGATGAATGCAGCAGTGGCAACAGTGGTAAAAAGCCAGATCAGGGACTGCAGAAGATATCTGGCTGCTAACAGGGTGCACAAAGATGCAGATAGTGAGGAAGGGATGTTGCCTGTATTAGTGTAGCTGGCTGTTTTTATTTGCATGGGCACACAGAGTTAATATACCACCAGCAGGCCACTCAGTTCCTGCTCCAGCTGAAGCATCCCCCCACTGGCATCCCCTTAGCTGTATTTTAACCTCAGCCCTTTCTAGTTTTCTGTGTCACCCCACAAACTTCTGCTGGTTCCCTCATGCTGGGGGCTGATTAGTTTAAGCAACTACCATTTATGGAAAGGGAACAACCTGCTCAGTCCCTTGCAGCAGCTGTCAAATTAACATAAACAGTGTGAAAAGTAGGATTAGGCAGGAGGGCTCTGGCACACGCTGCTGGCAGTGACCCCAAAAGGCTGGGGGAGTGTAAATGGTCTTTCTCAGTCTGACAAGGCTCTGGGGTTACTCCTCACATTAGAGCACTGTTGAAATGGGTGTTTGTTCCTTGGGGTGGCTGCAAATCCCAGACTGGTGGCTGCATTAAAAAAATACTATATTTGTGAGATGTGGCATGTTTGTCCCTGCTTGTTTTACACTTTTTCCAATTGTGCTCAGAGCAGTTACTCTTTTGAAGGTCCAAATCTGTGTGTGGAATGCAGCAAAGCCCTTTTAGGGTTCCAGTCCTGGGAGGAGGAAGGGAGGATGGGAGCCTGGGTTTGAGCACACGTAAAAAGAAACCTTTAGTCTTGTAGCTTTACTACTTTGCTGCAAAGTTAACCTGTCACCAGAAGAAAAATCCTCTGTGGTTAAGTTTCTTTACTCTGGTTAAACTTCTATATCCTTTATATCTAATATTTTTTCAGACACTGGCAGTCAGTAGTGCATTGTTTGGAGGGTTTTTTACTTCTTTCTGTCATAATTATATACATCTTTCCTGCAGAAAAGGGTTTTCCTATGTTCTGAAGTCTAGAAATCTTGAAAGATGGGTTTATTCAACTACAAAGGATTCAGAGGACACACAGTAAACATAGGAACCCAGCTCTCTTTTTTTTTTTTTGTTTTTCTTTGTGTTCCTTAGTATTTCTTTTCTTTGCTAGTATATGAATGGCTGCACATGGCTTTTTCTCCATGATTTGTGTTGCAGGCATCTGTCCCAAAAAACCCATCACTAGGTATGATTTCTGGGGAGCAGTGTTTCCAACTTCCTTCCTAAGAGAGATGCCAAAACCTGCAGATCTGAGGCTGTTCAGGGAGAGAGAGCTGGTGAGTGATGGATTGTGGTCAGGAGCTGCTGCTCTTCAGCTGGAGATCCCAGAAAGGATCTGCTCTGCTATTTGCCACGTTCAGAACCAGCCTTTCCAGCCCACAGGGACTTTATCAGCATGCTGGGGAACTCATTTGAAACTTTTCCATGCCATGGATGTGGGAGAGATAAACCTCACGCTTTTCATCCGAATGGAATAGTCACCAGTGACTCATGTATTAGTGGTTATCTATTCTCCTTCCTCCTCAGTCCACAGGAGCCTGGCACCCCGTTCCCCAAGAAGTACCAAAGGGTACCAAAAAGGAGTCCCCAGGAAGAGGGGCATCACCAAACATGAGAGGTTTGAGCCTGATTTTACTCTTTGCTCAACTGGGAACAACTGGCAACCACTGAATATGCTGCAGCTTGGCCAAAATGACACAAAGGTCATGGAACTTGGCACATATTAGTGTGAAAATCAGTTAGTCTGGTAATAGCTGAGTTGAGGAGGCATCCAGCTGCCTGCCAGAGATGAAGACTGAGCAGGAAAAATGTCCCATGTGCATGGAGCCGGGCAAAACCCTTCATGGTGGGTTTTGGTTTGAAAACTTGTTTGCACTTTGTCAATCGATTTGTTCCTTTTCCTCATTTCTTCCATTGCTACTTTGTAAAAATATGTTTTGTTTGATAAATTTCTCCCTGCGTGCTTTGAATGATGAGTAATCCCAGCACAAACCCTAAATGCAGGGTATGGCTTGTTTCATCTGTTTGAACAATCTTGATTTCAAGCAGGAGGAAATCACTGTGAGGCTCAGGAACCTCCAGGAGCTCAGATGTGTGCCCAGATAAATATGTCTATGAAACCTTAGGATGTTTGAAACATGCTGCTCTCAGGTTTTATTTTCCTTTTACCCCCACAAAGAGCAGCATCATTTTTAACTAATTATGTGGCTTCTCAGCACTAAAGTACCCAGTTTTCTCCTGCCTGACAGAGGAAGAAAATCCAGAACCTTTGAAACCAGGATTTACTGATTGCTTAGAGACTTTTGGCACTGGTTTATTTTAAATTCCCCAAGCTCTGTATGTAGGGTTTCTGGACATTACTAGTTTTCAAAGCAGGGGAGGATGGCAGGTTCAGGATTACCCTGAACCACAATCACCTGGCATCTTTTGCCACAGCTGGCTTAAATTGAGTTTAGATGGGCTGCCCCAGCCCCACATTCTCCTGCTCTCTCTCCCAGCGCTCTCCATAGCCAGCAGTTTGGAGATGAAACTATTTTCCTGGTTAGCTTTAGCCTGAGCTGGGAGTTCCATGGTGTCTCTTACGCCAGCTGGTGCTTGGATCCAACGTCGTCAGGCCACACCACGATGCACTTCATGGTTCCGTTGTCCACGGTGATCTCGGCGTAGAAGCACTGCGGGAAGGCAAGGCCGAACGCCACCAGCCAGATCATCCCAATGATCCCTCTGGTGCTTCCAGCAGACAGCCTGGCCTTGAAGGGGTGAATGATGGCCACATACCTGCAAGCAACAGGTGTAGTGCTTTTACAGTTAGACTGGCAAGCTATTCAAC